ATTCCTCCCCCTTCCTCCCCTCCGACCTATCCCAGCTGATCGTCGAATCGAGAAAGTTTTGCCGTTCGAGAAAGTTTGCCGTCGAAAGTTCAAACTTGACCATGGATTTTGGGATGGGGAATATATGATTATTCGTGGCGTTCGGTTCCCTCTTTCAACAATTGGCCCCGCTTCGTATAATCGAACGAATGAAGCTAATGATGAACTCGGTTCCCAAATGTTTCAAGTTGAGCGAATATTTTTATCGATCGACGAAAAATATTGACGAATATTATTAAAGTTATTTTTTTTTTTAAACGGAAGAGAAAATCTGAGAGTGGACGATCGTCTAGCGCAAAGGATTCTCAAACGAAACGTACACAACTCGCGCGACAAACACTGTTGAGAGAATTTTCGGTTGGAAACGGTAGGCGACAAATTTGAAAGCGAAAATGCGGAGTTCTCGTCGATTGGAACGACAAGATAGAACGCGGCGAAGGGCTTTGACAGGGGTGGACGATGGCGCGGATCGAACGATCGAACCGATCGACGAGGGGTGGTGGTGGTGGTGGTGGTGGATCGGTGGGAAAAGGTGGAGAGGACGAAATCGCGCGTGACAAACGGCCGCGTACATTTGTCGGGGGTGGGCTCGCGTTTAGCCTCTCCCGACATTAACATATTCCAGCCGATTCGGGGCAGACATCGACGCGGCGGCGCCACTCGTTCACCCCTTACTTCCGGCACATTTGTGTTTTGTTTCCAGCGAACGCACCCCGCGAGCGGCCGTCGCCGTTTTCGCCAACAGTTGGCCGCGTTTCTCGCGAAAAACGCGTTGGCGAGGGGTCGTTTCGCCATTGGGGATGATGTTCGTCGCGACCAAGGAAAACCGTGTAAGAAAACCGTTGTCTGTTTTTCCTGTTGATTTCTCGGGTGGAATTTTTCTGCAATTGGTTCTGTCGTGTAATATTTGAAAGAAAAGTGCTTTTTCTCTATTATTCTAATTATTATTTATATTTTTAAATTTCTTCTTCCGATTCTTTCGATATTTCGGGCGAGAGACAGTTTTTATTAGTTTTATGATTTATAATGTCGAAAATTCGCGATGACAAACGCGAAAAACGAGGGATGGTTTCACCATTGGGGATGACGCTCGTCGCGAGCAAAGGAAACCGTGTAAGAAATCGTTGTCTGTTTTTCCTGTTGATTTCTCCCTGATCTGGAATTGGGGTGGATTGCGAACTAATTTTTCGAGACTGTTGTTCTATTGTCTCGTATAATATTTGAAAACAGTGTTTTCTGTATTCCGTAATTTTATTTTATATTTTTATCTTTTCTTCTTTTGATTCTTACTGATATTTCGTGTGAAACACAGTTTTTTTATTATTTTTACGATTTACGATTTCATTAATATCGAAATGAGAAAGTTAGGAAATACGCGGATGATCTCGATTTACCGCCTGGCGATAATTCCATCAACTGTTTCAAGTCTCTATTTTTTTTTTTTTTTTTTTTAGGAAAGAGTTTCACCTTGACGATTATGCTGCAAACGTCGCCACCTCAGGTAGCCACCCTATCTAAAGCAATCAAGGTCACAGTGGATGGACCGAGAGAACCTAGATCGAAAACAAGTGAGTGCTACAACGTTTTACCAACAGTGGGTAACTCCGCTCTTGGAAGAAGGTGATCAGGGATAATAGTGGGTTTAATCGTCTTTTTTTTGTTTCTAAAAAAAGTATCGAGTATATTTTATCAATTTGAATAATATTAAAAATTACGACGATAGAATTAACTATTTGAGAATGCAATTTTGTATCAATTATTATTACTTATGTACGAATGAATCATTGGACACTAGATCACCATTCGTTCACCGATTAAAATAATAACCCAATTATCTTCACACGATAGACTTTTAACATCTCAAAAAGATAAGATATACACGAATTGTACACGTCGCACCGATTGATGAAGCACGTTGCGTTTCAGGGCACCAGGCTTTCCATCCGTTTCACTTCGGGCCTAGGCCTTTCCCTTTCGGCCACCCTCAGGATCCCCTGGGATTCAAGTTGACCGGTAAGTGTCTGCCAATAGAAGATTCGTCCAGAGACGCGCTACCTGCGCATAGCGCGGCATCCGCCTCGTAGCGCGTCTCAGTGGCAACCGGATAACTAAGTTTACAACCCTGCGTTTCATCCCCTTCCCCTGTGTCGCGAAGGCAAGCTTGCTCCGATGTTGGCTGGCTTGGTGGCTACGAAGGGTGTCAAAATTGAGCGTCGGCAGGCGCCGACTCAAAATTGAGTTTTGCCACGGGGCGCCTAAGTGGAGAAGACTCTGATTAAGTCCCCGGCCTTTCGTTTGTCGACGCCACTCTTCGACGAAACTTTGCGCCCCGTTTCGCTTCTCTCGTTCCCTCTCGAAAATTCCCCGATCATCCTCCGTGGGATGAAGACGGACAAGTTGCAATCGCTTATATTTTCACGAACCTCGAACACGAATTTCCACAATTATTCCTCCCCCTCCTCCTCCTCCTCCTCGATATCCGTGAAATCCATCCGGAACCGCAAGTTACAATTTTCTTTCTGAAAACATCATCGATCATCTCTGGAAGGCGGATAGAATTTCCTCCCGTTCGACTCGATCTCCCCGATGATCGAGAAAAACTGGGCAGTCAGTCCCACCGGCAATTTCCTGTGGCGGAGGATTGGACGGCGTTAGTTTGGCGGCGCGGATTCCAATTCAAATTCGTTCGAAGCTCGAAATTTTGATGGGACTAGCC